TTTTGTTTTGGTAGGGTCCTTGTTGCTAGTGGGACTTGAGAATATCAAGCTCTGGAGTGGGAGGAGTTCTCAGAACCAGGGGAGGGAAGTTGCTGACACCCAGTGGGTTAGCACTGGAGAAGAGGCCCTGTATTCCCCATCCCATTTCCCCTCGGGATGGGGAAAGCCTGCTCTCGGTAGAGGGGGTTCCAAAACATCGCTTGGGAACCACTGCACTCAGATGTCATCTGGGGGGAGGCCTAGCTGGGCATCCAGCTGTTTTCCCTCTGGAGCTCTTAGCCATGTCTTTCCCTGGCCTGAGGGCCAAAGGAGCAGGACTGGCTTTCTCTCCAAATCCTCCTTGCCCAACTCTTTTTCTGGAAGGAAAGTAGTTTGTCTAGCTCCCACTTGCCACTCACTCAGACACCTCGGCAGAAAGCCTCTGCTTCTGCTGTTGGGCCTCCCACTGACCCACCCGGGGAAGGGTCATCCTGTGTCTCCCCAGGAATGTACTCCACCTCCTGCAGGGGAGAATGAAATGTGGGCCAGGCGGGGTACCGAAGCGGCCCTTGCACCTGTCCTTTCATCCATCCGCCTTGCCTCCATCCTTCCATCCATACTTTCATCTTCCCCTTTTCTTTCGTCCTCTCTTCCACCTTTGGACCCTCTCTTTACTTTTTGTTTTCCCACCCCCCTTCCGTTTTTCCATCCATCTCCATCCTCCTGCCCTTCTGTCCTCCCTCTCTCCTCCATCTTTCCTTCCATACTCCCCCCCCCACTTTTTTTTTTTTGAGATGGACTTTTGCTCTTGTTGCCCAAGCTGGAGTGCAATGGCTCGATCTTGGCTCACTGAAACCTCCACCTCCTGAATTCAAGCAATTCTTCTGCTTCAGCCTCCCCAGTAGCTGGGATTACAGGCAGTGTAGGGGCATGCCACCATGCCCGGCTAATTGTTTGTATTTTTAGTAGAAATGGGGTTTCACCATGTTAGCCAGGATGGTCTTGAACTCCTGATCTCAGATGATCCACCTGCCTTGGCCTCCCAAAGTGCTGGGATTACAGGTGTGAGCCACCACGCCTGACCCCTTCCGTCCTTCCATTCCCATCCTCTTGTCCGTCCTCCTTCCGTCCTTCCATTCCCATCCTCCTGTCCGTCCTCCTTCCATCCTTCCATTCCCATCCTCCTGTCCGTCCTCCTTCCGTCCTTCCATTCCCATCCTCCTGTCCGTCCTCCTTCCGTCCTTCCATTCCCATCCTCCTGTCTGTCCTCCTTCCGTCCTTCCATTCCCATCCTCCTGCCCGTCCTCCTTCCGTCCTTCCATTCCCATCCTCCTGTCTGTCCTCCTTCCATCCTTCTGTCTTAACTTTCCTCCTCCCCTTCCTCCCATCTACCCAGGCCCTCAGACAGAGGTGAGGGGCCAGGAGGAGAATCTGACACCACCCTTTCCCCATGTATGGGACCATCCTCTGCCTGTGCCCGGGGCTTGCTGTGCCCGCAGTGATGGTGACATCTGTGGCTGCTCTCATGGCCCCCAAGTTGTCATGGTGAGGGGTGGAGACAGGTGTGCAGTGCCCACAGGCAGGAAACTTGCTGGCCTGGAGGACGGCTCTGTGTTAAACTCAGGGCCGGTCTGAGAGCCTTGGTGATGCTGGGGGTACCACGTCTCTGCTCACCTCTTGATTGGCCCATCACCTTCTCCCTCAAGAATCCTTGGATCTGAGTTGGGCAGGCTGGGCTCTTGCTCAGGGAGGGTTTCTCTGGCTCCTTCAGAGCTCCTGTGTAGGCTGCTCTGGGAGAATGTGGGAGGGAGGGGGTGCCCCATCCCCTGTAGGGAGCCCATGTGGCCTCCCACTTTGGTGGACAGAGGGGCCGCATGCAGGGCTAGCTGGTAGGTCTGCGTTCATCGGGGCTCATTGAATGATCATGGCGGGGCTGCTTAGGGCATTCTGCCTTGTCTGTGGAGTTCACAAGGGACAGGGGTGTGTGGGCTCGTGATGGTCCCACTGTTTGCCAGGGTGGGTCAGAGTTGCCACACCACCTCCCACTTCCTCACTTGATTGGTGGCCCCCATATCTTCCTGTGCTCCCATTAGCCCTTTGAATTCCCTCTCTCATAACTTTCCACCCCTCCTCTCCTCTCTCCTTCTGCAGAGGGACTCTGGCTGCAGGAAGTCTCCCTTTCTCCCTCCTCACTCCCCAGTGCCCTGTGTCCCTACTCTACTCCAGGCCAGGTTTATGCAGGAAATGGACATTCAGGCTTCTTCAGCCCCTGCCAACCTTCTCGCTCCCCCTTCTGGAAGTTGCGGCCACTCTGCTGCAGTTCTCTGCCCCTCCCTGGTCTCCAGCCCTATTGCCACTAGGGCCCTGCCTGCGTTTGCTTAAGGGCTTGGCTCAACTTTGCCCCACTCCTGGTGCCCTGCCTTTGATGTGCTTCTTGTCCTGGTGACTGAGACCTTCACACGATGGGTGGTTTCTGCATCCTGTGGCAGACCTGCTTGGCCCCTGACCTACCCGAGGCTCCGGTGCTGGGAAGGGAGTCTCCAGCCACTGAGTGAACAGGACTCCTAAGCTCATCCATGTTGCTGGGGAGGGCTGCGTGTGAGCCTTATCTGTGCTTTAAGAGGGAAGCAGGAGCCATCATTATACAGTGGTTAGAATTTTAAGCACTGAAAAGCACCTTTGGAGGTTCCCTTATTTTGGTGAGGTGGTGGCAATCCAACCCCACTGAGTTTATACCATGTTTTTTGCTGCCTTTGCAATCTTACCCCTCCCACCCCTACTCTGAGCTGCACCAAACTGGGCTTGTGGGCAGGGTCTCCTGGGTGGCCCTTCGGCTTGGGGTCATAGTGTGGGACAGGGTGAGGGGAGGCCTCATGTCCAGGGCTGCTTCTGGTTATGCCACTGACTGTGTTATCTCTAAATACAAGTCGTTTATTTGCACCAAAGGAGCTGTTTCTTTCATTGGGGAAGACAGAATTACTGTGCTGGTGCTTCCCTTCCTCCCAAGCCTGCATCCCCAGAGCATCTGTGGTCGGATGCAGTCACCTTTCCCCGACCCGCAGTGACTGTAACGACATCAGACACCAGGAGCCTCCCCCTGTTTAGACTGGATCAGAAAGGCACAGATGGAAGTAACTTGATTTCTTTTCCTGAGGTCCCGGCGAGGCTGTACCTGTCAGCTGCCCTGCTGGTGTGTTGGGCTAACCTTGCCCACGTGGGTCAGACACCCTTGCAGAAGCCCACTTATCAATCCAGAAAGCCCAGCCTCCAATGTAGCAACGAGGCTTGAGCTGGGGCCTTTTGTGATTTAGAGCATAGAACCTGAGGGGTTTGTGCCCATCACTGCCCCAGTGCCAACTGCAGGAGATGGTGTTCTGATCAATGGCGTGAAGCCGGACAAACTGGCGTGGGACTTCCCCTGATGAAGCCTCCCTGTGTTCTCCTGTCATCGGAATTTATGGGGCTTCTAAGTGAATGGCCCCTGGGGAATAGTCCTAGAATTTTGCAAGTCATGAGCCTAGGTATAAAATCTGAGTGTGTCTCCCATCTCCTGCACCCCCCCCTCCTAAACATAAGGAGGTCTTAGAGCAAAGCAAGTAAGTGTTTTCAGAGCCAGCTGGGTGCTGGGGACCTGTTTAGCTCAGCACTAGGACAGAACCTTGGAAACTGTAGCATCGGACATTTGTTCCTCACTCCTTAGATTTTGAGTGACACAGAAAAAGAAAAAAAAAACCAAAATGCAAAAGATTATCTGATTTGGGGAGAAAGAGAGTCAGACAGAAGGACACTGGATGTAATTTCTTTCCTTGTTAGAGATGGTTGAGATGTCTCAGGATAGGCAGGTAGAAATGTGTTCACAGACAGCAGCTTCCCTGTGGCATGCTAAGAAAACACTTTTCTAGCATGCAGTCAGCAAACACCTTTTTGGTGGCCAGAAATCAGCCTTGGAGTTAGATGAAGTGTGGCAAGCCAGTGGTTCATCGGTACAGACTTCTTGGGCTGGGGCTGCCACCAGCCTTCCAAATGTGTCTTCTGGCTTCCCATGTGCAGAATCAGATTTCCTGAATCCATACCGAAGTTCTGCTTCTGTGATCAGAATGTACAACTTCCCGTTCAGTAAAATATAATTTATTAGGGGAACTTATGTTTGCCCGGTAACATTCCTTCCGTGACATGGCAAAACAAACGAGGATCTGAATTGCGCTGGGTGAGGAGTGGGCTGCAGATCTCAGGCTGGGGGCTGGGCTGCGCTTCCTGGATTACCCCCCAGCCAGCAGCTCTGCAGCTGCCATAGATAAACATCCCAGCTTATCTTCTTGGTCTTTATCACTGCTGAGCCTGCCATAGGAGGTGAGGTCACCCACGTGGGACTTACTTCAGTGATAACATAGAATGAAGAAGTAGAAAATCTCACTAGCCACTGTTTTCCTGGTCTGGGTTCAGGAAAGAGGACTTTGATGCCAAACACAGCATCTCTAAACCTCAGTCAGTCACAGATTCCCGTTCTGTATCCATTGGCTACTGCCTGGCTACCCAACAGGCTTGGCCAATTGAAATTTGGGTGGGATTTTGGTCTACTGTGGAGGGCTCCATAAATCAAGGAAAAAGCAAGGATTGTTGGGTACGTTCTCACTTTGAGAATTCTAAAGAGGAGAGACACTGTGCATGTGAAAGAGAGAGAGAGACAGAGAGTGAAAGAGAGAACCCTTATAATTCTGGCTCTTATTTCTTCTGTCCCACATGGAGAAGATAAGATATGGTTAGAAGTTCCGCCCCGCTTCTTTTTGTGCAGGTGGCAATTTCCCACTGAAAATAAGCGGAGCAAATTTGGCTCATTGCAGCAAAGGTCACATAGTTCCCATTTTTTAAATTGCTCAAAGAATTGGGGCAGTGGGGCTATTCAAGGTTTTAGGCACTCAACTAACCCAGCAAATCGTTACTTTGGATGAATGCTGTTTATGTGACTTACTGAAGTCGACATGTGTGACATTTACAGTTTCTAACAGGTCTTATTTTTGCAGTTCCTGACCACCACGGCTTTAAGAATATCCTTCAACCAGGAGGGAGACCCATTGCTTTAAGACTTGCCTGGTAAGGACCATCAATTTGTAGTTTGTTGAACTGGTGTCTGTCTGTGAGTTTGTGGGGAATTCCAGGCTGCCTTCTCTGGGCTGCTGATGGAGAAACTAAGAGCTATGGAGAAACTTCTGGAGTCACAGGAGTCTGGGAGGTAGCCTGGGTTCCATATCTTGTGGGTGGGGTGAACCGGCAATGTGGAGACATGTTCTTTAGTCTCCAAACAGATTTCCCCATGAGGCAAAGCTCAACAAGGGTGACTTCTTTCTCTCTTGCATGACACCCTGAGTCCCTGTCTGCTAGCCAGCAGCCTGGAACCAGAGCTGAGAGCTGGTAGGGCTCCTGCTGAAAGCCAAGTGACCTCATCCAAGCTCCACCTGTGGTCGGGCTCCCCATCACTCACCAATGAGGTGACTCAGTGGCTTGGCCCAGTCTTGGGCAAAGCCTGTCCCAAAGCAGCTCTGAGTTTGTCACCGCAATCACACTTCAGATCATGAACTCCGGGACGGGGTTTATGTCAGCGTGAGAGCTGATATAAACTTAAATACAAAAGAAAGGGTGACATGTGTATTTGATATCTTCAGTGGCCTCATCTGAGGCTGCCTCTGATATCTCTGTAAACTCACCCTCGGATGTAATTAGCCAAGACCACCTTCTCCTGACCACGAGTCTCAGAGGTCATACATAAACCAGGGAAATTGATAGCAGAATTATGCACTCAGAAATTAATTTTATATTGTACTGTGTATATATTTTTTATTGTGACTTTATCTTGCTGGAAAAGTGCTTACTTCTGATTTTGTGGATATTCCTGACCGTGGATTACTTTTATTTTGGTTTTTACACAACAGTTATATTAGAAATTTGCTGTTTTATTCTTACCTTCTTAGTAAAAATCCTTTTATCACACAATGGGTAATTTATATCCATTACCAGGCCTTTCAATCCTTTTCAGTGGGGCTGTCAGTGCCGTTGGCACAGTAATGATTAATGTGATCTAATAATAGTGTACCATTATATTACCTTAGTAAAACATGTACCAACACCCTATTCCGATCTACCAAATTCATAGCTTCCTATAATATTTTTGTTGAAAGACAGGATTACTATTTTTCAAAGCTGATTTTTTCCCCTTTAACATATTTAATGAAATTCACAATTCTTTGCCTTAGTAATCCTGGGCATGTGACTGGGCTTGATGGGTGAATTCCACATCGGTAGGCCCCGCTGTGATTTGTCAGAAGAGAGTTCCAACCATCCCAGTGATCTGTCAGAGAGATTGTTTTGTTTTTGTTGGGCCTGGGTTGTTTTGCCTTGAAGAAGAAGAAGAAGAAAATGGTCAGGTCTCCAGTCCCTTCTGATGCGTAATAAGGAACGTGTGTTTTAGACTGAAAGGCGAAGGAGGAAGTAATTTGGTGTTTCCCTTCCCTCTGTCACTTGCCTCTGTCTGCCAGTGAATCGGAGGTGTAGCCGAGCCAGTGGAAGTAGCTTTAAACTGCTTCCCCAGAAATGCCCCTCTGTGACCCCTCCGCTCCTCTAGCTGTGGGCCAACCTCTCTGGGTCTGACACAGGGTCTTTCACACTTGCCATTATTGACATTTTGGGCTGGATAGTGATTTGTGGCAGAGCCCTCCTGTGCACTGTAGAATGTTTCTCAACGTCCCTGATCTCTGCCCACTAGAGGCTGGTAGCATGTGCACTCCCGACACATCCTCTATTGCAACAATCAAAATAGCTCCAGAAATTGCCATATGTCCCCTGGGGGCCCCGATCAGCCCTTGTTGGAGAACCACTGGTCTAATGTAGTAGGGGCACAAGCAGATATTTTTGGCATGTGGGGAATTCCTCCTGGAGTGCTAGAGTTCTATGGTGCCTCTTCGGATGTCTTCGGCTTTGGGAGAGAAGATGTGCAGGTGAACAGTACACACAGCATCGTTTTCTTGGCTGAAATATAGCCCTCTTCCTCCTCTCTCCCTCCTCCTCTGCCATGAGCCTGGCTCGAGCGAGGGCCTGAATCTTAGCTTCTTCCACTTAAATCCCATTATAATCACGCTCATGATTGATAACATTCCACCTTTTCAAAGGGCTTTAAAATCTGTGTCAACCAAGGATGACATTATTGTAGCGCAGGCGAGATGTATTCAAACAATTACACACTCAAATCAAAGTGGGAAGGTTTGTCCTTCTATCTCAGCGCCTTTGTGTGATGTGGCTTCAGCCAGCACCGTGGTCGCACAGCCCCAGAGACCTTCAACAGAAAAATAAATGGGAAGAAACAGGTTTTGCCCTTGGTACCAGTCAGTTTGGAAGGCAGCTTGGGTGTTTGGGCTCCTTAGGGCTAGAGGGTGGAGGAGCAAGGACAGATTGTTGAGCATAGGAGAGAGAGACAGACAGAGAAAGATAGAGACAGCAAGAGAAAGAGACAGAAAGACACACACACACACACACACACACACACACACACAGAGAGAGAGAGAGAGAGAGAGAGAGAGAGAGAGAGAGAGAGAGAGAGAGAGAGAGACATGGAGAGAGAAATCCTTGTTTTTGATTTGGAACAAAAAGTATTGCTGCAACATTGGCTAGAAATATGCAATCAACTGAAATCAGGAAAAGTATTTTGAATACGAAATTTATATTGAAACACTTGAATTTTGATACATGTGCACCCACATACATGTATGTATTTAAATCAAGAATATAGACAATGAGAAATAAAGCTTCTGGCATAAAAATACTGCCTACAGTATTTGCCCTTAGATAATTCTGCCACCCGGAATACATTTTGGTACTGTTAACATTTCCATATGAGACACCCTTGTTTGTTTTTACAACTGATCCTTGATGGTAGCAGCAAATGAGGAAGTGACTCTGATTTACTCTTGTGTTAGGAAGATTTGGAACCCATCGTGTTGTTTGCTGCAGGGAGCATTTTAGTGACCTACTCCTTCACTGGTTTCTGGTCTGTCTCTCCTACTGCAGCGTAACCGTGGTGAGGGTAGGGGCCTTGTGTGTTTTGTTCCTTGTGATTTGCTTAGTTCCTGAAATGATGCCTGATGCACAATAGCTTCCCAATAAAGCTTTGATGACTAGATGGATAGATGGAAGAATAGTTACATAGATGGGTGGATGGAAGGATGGATGTATAGATGGGTGGATGGATAGCTAGATGGGTGGCTGGGTGGGGGGATGGATGGATGGATGAGTAGATGGATGGATAGAGGAGTGGATGGGTGGGTGAGTAGGTGGGTGGATGGATGGCTGGATGGCTGGGTGGATGGATAGATCCACAAATAAATTGATAGATGAATGGATGGATGGATAGATGAATAGATGGATGGATGGGATGATTGGTGAATAGATGGTTGTATTGATGGAGGATGGATAGATGGGTAGATAGATAAATGGATGGGTGGGTAGATGAATGGATGGGTGGCTGAATGGGTGGGTGGATGAATGAGTAGATGGGTGAATGAGTGGATGGATGGATGGATGGATGGATGAATGGATGGATGAGTAGATGGATGGATGGGTGGGTAGGTGGGTGGATGGATGGATTGATGGGTAGGTGAATGAGTAGATGGATGGGTGAGTGGATGAATGGATGGTTGAGTGGGTGAGTAGATGGATGGATGAATGGATGGATGGTGGATTGATGGGTAGATGGATGGGTGGGTTGGTGGATAGATGGGTGTTTTGATGGAGGATGGATAGATGGATGGATGGGTAGATAGATGAATGGATGGGTAGGTAGATGGATAGATGGGTGGAGGGATGGGTGGGTGAATGGATGGGTGGATGGATGGGTAGATGGATGAATGGGTGGATGGATGATGGGTAGATGGATGGATGGATGGGTGTGTAGATGCATTGATGGATGAATGGATGGATGGATGAATGGATGGGTGGATGGATGAATAGATGAATGGGAAGATAGATGGGTCTCTATTTCAAGCCCTAACATGTACCTTAGAATATTGGGCTCATTGATCCAAATGAAATCTCACTTTTACCATGTCTTCACTCATTGGCCTCCCAAACATTTTTTGAAACTTTGATTTTAAAAATCTAATGATCAGTTATAGCAAGGCATTTTCTTTTAGTCTAGTTTTTTAAAATAGAAAAAATATGTCTAGGACTGTGCTAGGCAATCTCTGTGAACTGAAAACCACTTTGTTATAAAAATGTCTTTAAAAATCCACAAGGGCACATACACAGATGACTGGGACTGAAGGCATGGAGGTCAAGTAGGACAAGATGTTCTCTTTCAGTGTAGGATGTGGATGAGAGACTTATGAGGCTCAGAGGACTTCCTGCCCACACGACTGGATGTCCATCTCTGGCGCAAACCTCTGTAATCTGCACTGTATTCCATGTTCTTCTGGAGATTCTCGTCTGTTCTCTTCAGACTTGCCATACATGGGTCTCCGTGGGACTTGCCACTGCTCAGCCCGATGAGGTCAGCTGTCCTGAGCGGATAGGCTGAGGCTCTGGGGAGTGGGGTTCCCAAGTTCTGGCATGGTGTGTGCAATGTACCCATGTGTTGAAAAACTTATTCTCAGTGATGAGAGTGGTCCAAGTTACCTCACCCTTGACTTTTATATGATTGTACCATGGATATCACAGCAGTATCAGTGGGAGCATACTGAGGAATGACAAATGACCTCTACATCTGACAGCGTGTAGCAAAGGTATAGGCTTTGCAAGCGGATTTCCTGAGATGGAACCCTGGCTCCACCATTCAGTAGCTGTCTGACCCAGTGTCAGGGACCTGCACCTCAGTTTTCTCACCTGTAAATTGGGAACAACGGTCATGACAGCCTGGTAGATGACATTATGTGATGCCCTTAAAACACTGCCTGGTTCAAAGTAGGCATTTAATAAAAGCGTGGCACTGCTATTATTTTTAGTTCTTCTCTTCCATCCTCTTTCCCCCTTTCCCCCTCTTTATTCGATATTAATGAATGTATAGGCCATTTTGAGATAGACTTTTCCCCTCAGTCTCATACATGAGCTAG